TTCAACTAAGCTAAGAGGAGGTTAACAATATTAAGAGGAATCTAGGGCTTGGGTTATACCACTCAACTTCATCACAAATCACAATTAGCATGCAACAATCAAGGTAAATTAATGGGATAAATTAGGGGAAGTCATCTAAAGCACCCAACTACTCTCTCAAGCTAGAGGGATTACTTGAATCATGAATACGACCTACTCTCGTGGTTACATAGCATAAAACAAGTGTTAAAGCATAATCACGATGACATAAACATTCCCTTGACCGGTAATCCCTATTCTCATGGCATTTCGGGTCAATCAAGCATAAGGGAGCTAACTCAAGTTCATCTCTCGATCCTTCGTTGAGAAAGCTTGGATAAATAGTTCTAGCAATGGCCATATACAAGAACTAAGCAATTAAACCACTTAAGCTCAACTAATTAACATCCCACAACAACCAAATTAGCACATGCAACAAGTAATTAGTGACTACATTGAGGGTTTTGCCCAAACCCTAGAATTTAGACTACTCACAATCCATGGGGGTTAAAGCAATTAAAGATTTCAAGCAATTCATGAACAAATTCAAACTAAGGATTAAGCTAATTAACAATCCAAATCATGCAAGAACTAGCAAATAATTAACAACAAAGTAAAGAGAAGTAGAAAAGATGAGTAAGAAATGGTTACTATGAAGCTTCAAGGTGAGCAACAATGGTGGATTTTGTCTTCTACAATGATTGAATTTGAATAATTCCAAGCTAATAATTGAGAACTAACTAATGATTTGAGAATTTAATGTTCTAAGACTACAAACTAAGAGAAAAGCTCTGAAAAACTGCCTCCCCCGTACAAATGAGCTCTAAAGGGGTATTTATATGACCCCCAAATAAAAAGGACGGAGAAAACAAGGAAGGAGTTCGACTGCAGGTCTGCACGGACGTGCCAGATTTGGCACGGACGTGCAAGGCTAAGCACGGCCGTGCCAAGTTTGGCACGGACGTGCAGAGGGGGCAAAATTGAGGCAGAACGTACTGCTAAGAATCGAGCAGTTCCGCACGGACGTGCAGATATTGGCACGGACGTGCAGCTACATCTGCACGGACGTGCTTAATTTGGCACGTCCATGCAGGCCTTGGCAGAATGTTCTGAGTTTCTGGAGCACTTCTGCACGGACGTGCAAAGTCTGGCACGGTCGTGCACCCTCTTCTGCACGGACGTGCCAGATTAAGCACGGCCGTGCAGGCCTTGGCAGCTTGCTGAAGCTTTCTGGAACCTCCTGCACGGACGTGCAAGGTCTGGCACAGCCGTGCAGGGTCTTCTAAACCCCTTTTTTCATCTTTTCTTCTATAATGCCTTTCCTTGGCTTCTTTCATCCATCTTCTTGCTTCTAACCTCGGCTTTGTATCCATGGGCTCCATTTGGTCGTTCTTTTGAACCTAGAATCTCAACAAAAACACCAACAACCCGTGAAGCATAGGATACACAAGAATTGCATAATAATAGAGTAAAAATGAACCAAAACGCAATTTATATCAAGTAAACTAGGTTCAAAACACCCTAAAATCGTATCAAATAGCAAGTTATCATATATTCGAAAAGGAAAGGAACCGCTATTGACAATGACAAGTTTGAGGAAGTGATAGATTCCGTTACATTTCTAGAAGAAATCACTTTTAGTACAATTCATATGTACCATGATCACATAAAAGACTCCGGAAGAGTATGAAATATCCAACAAGATTAACATGTATCAAGATTATAGTCAAAACTCCAGCAGAGTATGATTAATTATTGGATAAAATATTAGTTGATTGTCTTGCCAATGGTATAAAAAAACACATGTTGGTGTTCAAATATCACATTATATTCATGGCCATACATAAAGTAAGTTTAAAAAGTGATCACTAGTGTTGAAAAACTAACCAGAGTTCAAATTTAGAGAAGTGATTGGATGTGATAACTAAATTAGGTCATCTGGGTTTAATAATTAATTACCCGTCATGGAAACTTTAACTTTAACTTGATATGAAAGAAATAATGTGCTGACGCTCTCTCATACTAGATATTATGAAATGAATTGAATGGCAAGACATAACGTTGAGATTGAGCTATATTTAGATTATGATTTAATAGTTTTTTTTGAAGAATTTCAAGAGATTATTATATGCTTTTGCATGTGAACAAGTAATAATTGGCCATAAGCTCACTAAAACAACTTGTATGTGTAGAGATTTTGAGTAACTAGAAATTCATTATTAAAGTATTTGGAGAATTAGAAGATCAGTGGCTTTTCATACAAGTGATTTAATGGTAAATTAATCTCTTGATTGGGGCTATTTTATGTCAGCACATACGAAATAGAATAAGAAAATAGTCAACTGCACAAAACATGACTCCCTATTAAGATTGATCTCCAGAAGAGATAGAAATTAAATTATTGTCCAGAAGAGGTGAAAATTGTTGAATATGACTATTTTCTTGCGAGATGAAATTTGTTGAATATGATTATCCTGCGAGATGAAATTTGTTGCACATGAAATTATATTCTAAGTTGGTGAAGAATTGCCCCGATATTTGAGATATTTTACCAATTTAGGGGGGAGAAGAATTGGAGTAAGTTGGCAAAATTATAAATTTATAAATTAGTTGATCCCTATAATAATACTTTGTAAAGTTACATGCCAACTTTTGTATCAAGATATGTTGCACATTTATGATTTGATTTATATACCGTTATGACCCAACCAGAAGCATAGAGAGATACATTTTGCTCATAATGATAATGATATTATGTGCATACATTAAGATAGATCTTGCCAATTTTTCTTTAAATCACTACACCTGAAGTGTAGATTGTAAGATCTGTTCCAATATATGTGATATATTGCAAGATAGTGTAGTTGATATTAATACCATAATGTATGAAATAACGCAGATAGAAGTGGTATATATAGATATCTAAGAATTATAATAGATGGCCTATGATATGAAAAAGGTTATAATGGTACCAATTGGAGATGTATTCAGATATCATAGTAAATTAGCATGCGAAATTGTATCTTGCTGAATTTTATAATACCGGTATACTATGGAACCGATAAATAATATGCATATGCATTATAGAATGGCTTAGTGAATAAGGGATCTGAAATATATATGTCCATTTTAATATCGACATAATGATAATAATTAGAAGTTTATCATGGACCAGAAGTCCAATGAAATATGGATTTTTAAATCCACACTGTATAGCGTCTTGCATTATTCTGAGTCCTATGTATGTTCATATGCATGTGTGAGTCTTAGGTTAATGGATTATTCATTGTATATGTCAGAAGTTGTTAGATGCATTACTCATTGTATATTTTGTTTAATATGTTTATATCTCATATTACATGCATTAGTTTCTATACAATAATTGTGGTGAATGTGAATGTTCATTCAAAGTATAGTAAGACATATTTACAACTTTAATGGAAAATTAGAAAGAGATATTTATATTCCGATGGGCTTATAATGTGATGAAATTATTGATGAAACCGATTTAATGGCATGTTATGAATCATGTAAGAAGAGTTACTGAAGAACCTATATACGATGTATTTAAATATCCAGCCCTACAAAGCTTATATCTTGAATATTGCAATTATTATATATCAAACTCTTGAAAAGTCTATGTGACTACATCATTGACATCTCAACCTGTAGTTTGAGCATATGCAAGTTAGTGAGATTTACTATTTGTATTTGCAAGAGAGCTATCATGTCAATTATGAAAATTCTAAAGAATATCAATAGGATACTTATACGTGAATTGTTTTATTATGGTCCAGAAGAACCATGATCAATGAATATAATTACGTGTTATATTATTAATTCATACGAGATTGAAGAGCAACATGAATAATATCATATGTTGCCATATAATTACTAAAGAATGTTTTATTAAATAATGATCATCAGTTTCTATTATTCACGACCTCCAGAAGAAGGCGTAACCGTATAAGTTTAACTTTTAAATCAACTATTAAACAGAGATTTGAAATTAATGATAGTAAAGATAAACACATGTATGATGAAATGAAGACACTTCACATGTTCACGTGAAGACTTGGAGACTTGAAGGTGCAAATTCAATTTAGGAGGATCGAAGTTCAACGAATGATATTTTACTACATATGAAAAGATATCCAACCATATTGGATTCATTGCTGCGGCACTAGAAGATCTCAAGTTATGTATTCATCAGGGGAGGAAAATATGCGTTGTACTATTTTTCCCTTGACCATGGTTTTGTCCCACATTGGGTTTTCCTGGTAAGGTTTTTAATGAGGCAGCATCTCGAGCGTATTACGAAGAATGTTGTACTCTTTTTCCTTAATTAGGTTTTTATCCCACAGGGTTTTTCCTATTAAGGTTTTAACGAGACACAATCTTCAATAATAATGGACATCCAAAGGGGAGTGTTATAAAATATTGGGTGGATGCCCATATCCTTCTTGTATCATCCAGAATATTCTAGATCTACGGTTTATTGTTATGCAAGCAAACCTTAATTATATTGTATGTATATACCCCCATCATATAGAATAAAGATATACACATTAATTCTCTCTCAATCTCTCATGTTTCTCCCAATTTTACAACATTTTTTTTTTAACTATTATTATTATGAAAAAAGTCATTCGTTTGGTCATGGGCTATGGAAAATGGATTGCAAGTATTATGTATTTCTATAGCTAAACCTTTACAGTACTCGGTAAGTTCGTATATGATCAATGTTTTGATTGTAGATTTGTAAATAGTCGGATGAGTAGGGTATGAAGTATAGTTCTCTTCTTCGATTACCTTTTTGGTCACACCAAGATAGAGGGAGAACTATAAAAAGTGTTCGTGAGAATCATAAGTCATAAGTCATGACTTGATTGTCAATTTTCGATCCCTTCCTTTTCCAAAAGGTGATGTAAATCATGTAATGAGAGATTGGCATAAAAATAGAGTTTTTAGCCCTTGGGATCATGTAATGAGAGATCATGTACTCTATAGTAACAATAAAACTCGGCAAACCTCCAAACGACACTCCTCTAAAGTTCAGTTACTTCGGCAGGATCATAAATAACTATCCTTACTAATACCATATTACCTACAGTCCTACACCATATCGAATAAATTACAACAAGATATTACAGTTGCCCAAAAAATCACCTTCTATCATTATGTACCTAAAGATCCTCAGCTACTTACTAGAAACATGAGTTGGAGAAGTAACGCAGAAACATAATAGTACACAAAGATATCAGGACATTATCCATTAAACTTTTTCGATTGCTTCCATATCTAAAGAATGATCCACTAGTAACTTGAGTTGAATTTACCACCTCCCTTGTGTTATTTCCTTCCTTCTTACTGCACACGAAGAAATAAGATAAGACTTGTTAGTAAAACTTCTAATTTGTCAAAAGAAAGTATTGTCAAAGTTTCTAACTTAGTGGCAAAATTGCCCTTCAGTCACTTGTTAAATGAATTTGTTTTTCCAATATTTCCTTGGGAAAAATTTTCGAAGGCAAGACAAACAAACAATAAGTTATCATGAGATCAAGGTGATAGTTATCAATTTCACATTTTAAGGGGGTAAAATATGAGTGTGGACAGCACCCAAAGCTCGCTCAAATATTTTTTTAGACACGCTTTGTAAAAGAACGTCCTTAAAAGCACCCTTCACAATTACCAAATTACCCTCAAGTTGGGAACATTCAATATCAAAGGTAAACCAGATTTCTTTCACTCACCTTCCAGGAAATATGCAGCTCCCATGACCTACAAAATTTCAGATAAATAGAAATGTTTAAGTGCCAAAATCAATAAATAAATAAATAAATAATAATAACAACAAAAATATACTAGCATAATATTGGACTAGTTGCATTGACATTTTCAGTAGCAAGATGCCCAACATATAATAAAAACATATTAGGTCATTCCAACTGAACAAAAAGCCAGACTATTTTTGCTGTTTTGCATGATGCACTCCATAAAGGATGCAGTCAGACTCAGACAAAGTATGGTTGGGCTCCATTTGTCAAGTATTTCCAGTACAAAGCATCAGCAAATTAACACAGTACTGTAGTTTTTTATATTTAAGATTTCCAGATTATGAAAAGGTGTCATCTTTAATCTTTTTCACTCAATTCCCTCTAAATTGGACCTCAATCCAGGGGAAAATAAAGCTTAAAACTTTAGCAGTGTTTCTTCCCCTTTTTAGGCTAGAAAAACTTGCTCTTCTTTTGCAATTGTTCTCACTCATCAAATACATCGATGCTCTAGTCCGATAATTTGGAGACTCTTGTTTGCAAGTTGCAACCATAACTGTCTGGTTTTCTTAGCATATGTGTGTTAACTAGGTTACTAAACTGTTCAAGCAATATGTTAAACAGTTCAATAATACTACTATATTATATGGAGTAGCAGACGAGAAATAATAATGGATGGGCATGTTATGTTTTAAGAAAAAATATCGTATGGCGGAACCCACTTTTATTCCTTGTCTTTTGTAGTGTTGTTATGCAAATTTGGTTCAAGTTAGGCTAAATGGCTAACAATTAGACAAGGGGGCGAAAAATCCTACCATGCTCATATTCTCTCCTTAACCAAAGCTAACCGTAGTTTGGTTCGTTGAGGGCATATTAGTGTTAGTTTCCTAACTTTTTAAGGCATATGACTTTTCCTATTCCCGACTGTTGTTATAGACCCCAACATTTCTCATTTTCTGCATTGTCATAATGCAGCTTATTCTTTAAATTGTCACCCCATTTGGTAAACATAGTGTGATAAAGAAAGACTGGAAAATCAAATAGAATTTCACTGAAGAACAAATATGCTCATGACGTTAGAAAATCAACATCACTGAAAAGATTCTTCCTTTTTTTTAAAAAAAAAAAAAAAAAAAAAAAAAAAAAAAAAAAAAAAGACAGACAGGATTAGCAGCATGAATCATGCTTTTAAAAATTTGAACTATTTTTAGACTTTACACCTACACATTCGTGCTGCGAGTGATTTACCGACATAGTTAAAGCCATTTTTTAATCTGTAATAAGATGCTTATAAAAATTAAGCAATAACAAAAGTAGCAACCAAAGAGTGTGCCTTCAATTCTTCACCAAGAGGTTATGCATAGTGACTTTATTGTGTTCACTAAACTTTACACTTAACAGTTAACATCTCCCTGCCTTTTATGCATAGAAGAGTGAACTGGTGGCAAACCAAATTCCTATCCCATCCTGTATGCCTTTTGGACTTCAGACAGCTAGGTTATTCATTCATAAACTTCTTAAAGATAGTGACGAAAATCATGTTTAAAGCCAAAAATAATTTATTAGGTACCTAATAATGGCCTTTCTGGTTAATTTAAACACAGGAAAGAATGGAAATATAATATTAGATTTATTACTTCATAGAATAAGATGCTGAGATAAGGTGGAAAGACTTACTAGGATCAGAGGTAGTGATCGTGGCAACGCCTTTGAAATCACAGGATCCAGGAGACTTTCCCTCCATCTGGTAGTAGCTATCGAACGCATAAGAAGCATGATTCTGGACATTGTTGGGCGAATAGCAAGGTTCTCCCGGCTGAATTTTGCTACAATTAGCCCTTCCAGGACCACATGCCCAGTCTAATGCTGTCTGCAAAGTCTTCGTATCTACTCCTTCCATGGCAATGCAGTAAGTCTGGTTTGTTGTGTCATTAGCCAAGAAAGTCCCACTTCCCGAAACATGTAACAAATATACCGGCGTAGTATTTCCATAAAACAATCCCCAATTGGCTTCAGAGATTGGGAGTGACCTCAGATCCTCATTGAACAACTCATATAGATACACGCTAGATGTGATCTCAGGGTGAAACGGGGAGCCAGTCTTGTCGAAAACATGCTTGATGAGATTCGAATTGTATGTATCAGCATTGTCCATAGTGGCATAAGGCTCTTTGGTATCCCCCTTAGAAGGCCATCCAGTCTCACTAACGAGCACTACAACATCAGTGACATTAAGGTTCTTCATAGAGAAATAAGCCGAATCAACCATTGCATCATACACATTAGTGTAATGAAGCAAAGTATTAGGGTCAACCATTTCCTTGGAAGGTGTCAAGGGCTTAAACAAAGCGTTATCCAAAGGCACAACACCCTTGTTCTCCATAAAAACATAGTATGGATACAAGTTCATCATCAAAGGAGATTGAGTCCTAGACAAAAACTTCACAATTGGCAACAAATATTGAGTCATAGAGGTGTTAAAAAACGCCTGAGACGGTGGGAAAGGGTCTAAAATCAGTGAAGCCGATTGTGGGGTTGAAACCTTAATTTGAGAATGAAGATTTGAAGCCACAAGTGCACTATAAAGTGACTCAATAGCAGGCAAAAGCAAAGGGGCAGTTGAAGGCATTGTGGTCAAGACTTCATCACCCACAGCAATGGCAATGATGGTGGTTTCCGGGTAATAAGCAACGACATTCCGGCCCACCCAAGTCGCGGCAGTGGCATTGGAGGATCCAATAGCAATAAGCTGGTTATTAGGTACACCAATTATGACCCTAATCTTTGTTTTAGCAAGGGCTTTCAACAAATCAGGGTCAGCATCATAGAGCCTCACATGGTTAATCTTCTGTACTTGAAGAAAAGATACCAAATCTGATGGTGATAAAAAATTTGAAACATCTGTTCCAATGTTTACACCAATATAGGGTTCATCTTGCCCTTGTTTTTGCTTAATTTCTGCTATTATTTCCCCTTGAGCTGAAATTCATACATCACTGTTCATTAGTTAAATTTCAAACTGGGTTTCACTCAATTTAGTAAACTAACACATGGGTTTGGCTTAAATTCAACTAAAATCATCAAAATACAATCAAATCCAATTTTTTTTCATCTTCAACATAGCTGAATTAAACTGAAAATTGACAAAAAAAAAAAATCCACCAGCTAATGTGTGACAAAAACTAGGTTTTAACATACCAAATTAAACTATTGAAAACTGAAAAAGCTTACATTTTTCTCCAAAATGGTGAAAAGGGTATGCAAAAATTGAAGAAAAATGAAGAGGGTAAGAACCAAAATGTGAGAAAAGTACCTGGAAATGGAGAAAAGAGGAAGATGAGTGAAAGAAAGAGGCAGAAAGCAGCCGCCATGAAAGCAAAAGCTTGAGCTTTAGAGCATCATCCTCAGTTTCAAGCTCAGCTACAGAATTGGAAGAAGAAGAAGAAGAAGTGTGCATATTAATTCCCTCTCCTCATCTTTGGAATTCTCTTTTGAATTGCTATTTTTGAGCAAGTAGTGAAGCTACAGGATATTTCTGAAATTATAAATGGAAGTTTATAAAGATTATGCTTACTACTTGTATATTAATTTGGTAAATATTATTGTTGGTAATCTGTCACTTTTTCTTGCTAGTTTATTCTAGTTCTAGTATCTTAGAGAGAATTTGATGCAAAATTTTGGTAGTAGGATGTGTATTTATACTAATGGACAAGATAATATGTGTAGTAATATCACTTTCTAAGTTTATATCATTATTTGAAATTGAAAATTAAGCACTTCTTTGCCATTTGGTATACTATGTTCTTTAATATCAATTTATATCATTTATCTACGGCAGTCTAGTAGATATATAGGTTCAATTTTGAAATTGAAAATTAAGCACTTCTTTGCCATTTGGTATACTATGTTCTTTCATGCATGTGATGAACTTTGGCAATGGTGATAAATAATTCTATCCCGGTCAACTTGATTTAGGAATATTTTTGATTGGCGAGACACATTGGCTTAAAACTAGTCACCTTTCAGGTAAAATTTACGATCTAATCTATGATATCACTGTTTTTTAAAAATTGATAACTTTATACTCTCCTCCTCACTTTTATTTGCTATGCTCACTTTTAGTAAGATACATATCGGCTGATGAATAAAAACATAAGGAAAAAAAATATGGAATGTGTCAAGGAAAAGTGAAGAGAAGTTATTAACCTTACGGCAATCTGTAATATGGCAAGGCTATTGTTGACTAACTAATTGCACACATGGATTATTATGTGTAGCTTCTTAATACACAAGGCACAACTCAAAAAACCCAATATTATAGGGTTACTACGTAGAAAAACCTTGAAATGTATCAAATAAAACAATGTAGACAAATAATTTTGGAAAAATGTACACGTAGGAGGGAGCAATATGTATCTTGTTGAACATGATTAAGGATCTCGTTTCTTCATTTAAAATAAGGATTTCCTGTATGCTTTGTTAGAATCAAACATGATTTGATTTGATATGACTGAGATTTAAATGCATTTATACATTGATATTAAAGGGAAATATACAAGTAAATGAGATCTCATTGAATTCATACTGATGAGTTTTGATAGAGAAATAGTATCTTCTAAAGTTGCAAATAAATACATAATACAAGTGTACAACTGTACAAGTATAAATTTAGAGAGATATGGGACCTTTTAAATCGAATACATTTTCTATTTACAAAAACTAACAAAAAATTTGGGGATATGATAAAATTCATAGGGATGCCTTATGAGTAGCAGCAACAAAAATGGGCAGCTGGCAAACAACATATGCCACATATCATTGAGCTTAAACAGTAGTTTGCTCAGGCATTGGTTCCTGGACTACACTCTGGCCATTTTCCAGAGAATATTTAAGTTTCTATGGCATTTGTATTTCCCAATTTGACCCTAGTGCTATGTCTTTTGTGGTTTTATTTATAATAAATAATAATAATAGTAGTAGTAGTGCGTTTTTTGTATTGCTTACTAAAACACCGATTGAAGTAACGCTGACCGAAACTTTGTGTAATAATATTAATGAAATTACACCATGCAAACTCACTCCAAAGTAGTGCTGGACTCCCACCAACATATAATTTGCAGTGGCGGACCCAGGAATTTCCGACTGGTGAGTCACAATCGATAATCAAGTATCTAAAAAAAAAAATTTACCGAACAACCAAATAATAGTACTAAAAAATACATCCAAATATTCAAAACAGTACAAAATACAACCAAATGTATGTGGAAGATTAGCAAATTCATGTTCACAATCGATAATCAAGTATCCTCTTTCCTGGATCTTGTGGAAGATTAGCAAATTCATGTTCACTTAATCTTTCACCAAAGATTGGGGCATTAGGAGAACATTGGCCTTGTTCATTTTGAGGGGAATTTTGAGTGGAATAATTAGATGGAGATGAATGTTGTTCACTTTCTTGAGGTGGACATATAGTTTGTTCACTCTGTTGAGGTGGAGATATAGTTTGTTCATTTTGTGTGGGATGTGGAAGAGAAGTTGAAGTAGGATTCTTTTTAGCAAAGAAGCTAGTAATGTTTTGCAGTTCATTTGGAGTGCGTTTTCTCTTCATTCTGAAATTTGAATAAATAATCAACTAAAGCAAGCAAAATTCCCCAGAAAAATTATTTACAAAGATCATTTTACCAAACAAACCACAATTCACATAATCACATATTCACATGGTCAAAAAGGTTCAAACTTCATCTAAAACCCAACAACATTATTACATTAAGGTCATTACTCATTAACAAAAGGTTCAAAGTTTACCAAACAAACAAGTGATTGAAGACTTGAAGTGAACAACTAACAAATCAACCAAAGTTTAATAGAATTAACTAATTAGACTTGATTAAATTGAAGATTAGAATTTTAAACTAAAAATTAGAAATCAACTTACTAGCAAAATGAGAATAGGAGATTAGACTTTAGAAGAAGCGACGAAGCGAAGAGCGGTGAGCGCAGAGCACGCTCTCGACTCTCGAGCAGTGGAGCAGGGCAGCAGGCGACTGCCGACTAGGCGAGCAGCAGGCCAGCAGGCAGTATCACAGCTTGAACAATTAACAAATTCACCATTTCACAGCTTGAAATCACAAGCTCACAGGGCAGCAGGCCAGCATCACAGCATCACAGCTTGAACAAGTATGTAAAGTGTCAATTGTCAAACATTTCACAAATTCACCATTCAGAATTTCATTGAACAATTCACAAAATCACAACAATTAGGGATTATTGAAATTGAGTTGATTATTGAACAATTGAGTTGATTATTGAACAATTAGGGATTTAGGGTTCAAAGAATCAAATTTAGTATTACTAATTCATAACTAACAAGTAATATCAATTATCAACAATTAAACAAATTTAGATGAAGACTAAGTTAATTAATTAATTTATGCGAAGAGGAACTGAGGAAGACGAAGAGGAACTAAAGTGTCAAACATTTCACAAATTCACCATTCAGAATTTCATTGAACAATTCACAAAATCACAACAATATATAACAAAATTAACAATTAACAATAATCAGTACTCAGTAGGCGTCTAGGCAGCGTCTAGGGCCACTGGGCGTCTAGCGATTAGCGAAGCAATCAAGCAATTATCAAGACAATCAAGTTATCAAGTTATCAACAATTAAACAAATTTAGATGAAGACTAACTGAGGAAGACGAAGAGGAAGACTAACCTCACCTGAATTTATGCGAAGAGGAAGACGAAGGGTCGAAGGCACGAACTGCGAGTCTGCGAAGAGGAACTGACTAACTGAGGAGTGAGGAAGATGCTTACTTGCGAAGTTGCGAGTTGCGAACTGCGAAGAGGAGGACTGGAGGAGGCGATTATGGAGGTGAATAGGTGATTGATGATGGCGAAGGATTGAAGCCTTGAAGGGAATTAGGGAAGAGGCGAATTGGCTAGGGCATGAAGGATTGAAGGCCATGAACTGAAATACTGAATTCGTGAATTTGGGAAAACTGATTTTTTTTTTTTTTTTTTTTTTTTTTAAAAAATTAACTTAAAATTTTTTTTTTGGGCCTGGTGAGTCACTTGACCCACCAGGTCTAAGCCCAAGTCCGCCACTGATAATTTGCATACTCATATAATTTTAGCTGATAGTCTTACTGATGTTAACGCAAATACTTCATTTGTATTTTTTTAAATGCATCACTTTTGATAATATGGATTTTTAGATAATTTTTGAAGTAAAAAAAGAAATAGAAAAAAAATAAGGAAGGTCATTGTGACATATATGAAAGAGGTAGAGAAAATTTTTAGTTAAAAAGTAAAATTATGTATCTAGATTGAAACTTCCTTTTATAAAAATTAATACATCTAAAAAACAGAAGAAGTAATAAGAAGTAAAAATTAGGTGAATAGAATAAGTATTGCTTTAAGCCTTTAGCCCAGTTGTTCCCTCTATCACTTTGACCTTATTAAACATTTTGTTTATAATATTTCGTGAGTATAAAATATAAACACTCGGAAAAAACGTATATTACTAGTACATAATACTTCCTCCATTTTTTTATACTTGTAACAGTTTGACTTTTACACTATTCACTTTGACTAGCATTGATAATTTATAACTAAGAAAAAATATAGTCCCCGTCAAAAAAATACTCCTATATATAGTCATGTGGGACCTTATTAGATTCATCTCAATTTATACTATTTAAATATCAAAAGTTTGTAATTTTTACATATTGGTAATTAAAGATATTAGCAATTGATAAATGTATTGGCAAGCGTGAAAAAAAAGTGTTGCAAGTATTAAAAAAAAAAAAAAAAAAAAAAAAAAAAACAGAGAAAGTAATACATTAATTAATTGAATTCATGTGAGAGGGCGTGATAGAATATATAAATCAATCATGGGTTTCACCCATCAGTTTAAATTTTTGATTGAGATGATCTTTTAATATGGTATCAAGAATATATAATTCAATTCTAAGCTAAGATAATCTTTTAACATGGTATTAATAGACAACATGACTTTAAATCTCATTCACCCATCCTTGGATTTCTAATGACTATTTTAAACTAAAAAACATTAAAGAAATGGAACAAATATTCATATTGTTTTCTTTAATTTGAAATAAACAAAAAAAATCTAATTGGGACCATTTATATAAAAACAAACAAAAAAAAAAAGTATTTATTTTGAGGACAATGTTTTGTAAATTTTGCTGCTGCTTTGCCTTGATCATAAAGTATTTATTTTGGGTTTTATATGAAGTTTCCTTATGCAACCAACATTATACTCTACGTAGTACTTTATGTGGTTTCAAAATTTATACTCCGTACTTGTACAACCTATCAAAAAAAAATAAAAATATTTGTACAAGTGTTGAGTGCCTTTCAGAATTTATGATTTTATTTCTGCTATTGCACGGTGGTCCAATCAAATAATGTTTTATTTATCTGCTAAATACTTTTTAATTATAAAGTGATAAAGAAGCAAAAGATATGGTCCAAAGAATATATTCTATCTCAACATAATTATAACACTATTATTATTAGTTTTATCAAATAACAAGAAAATTGAGGATTACATTCCATCATAAGCTACTCAATTAAAGATGGGGTGTTGGTAAGAAAACCAACTTGATTAAATTAAATCAAGACCTAATGGAATTATAAATGATTCAATTTATGATTTGTATATGTTTGGAAGTTCAAATGACTTTT